GGCGAGCAATCAGATCATTGACGTAACTGCCGAGTGGTTTAAGAGATGGGTAGGACTTCTTCATCCACAGACCAGGGATTTTGCCTTTAAGGATGCCGCCGGTCACCTCCTCTAGTTCAGAGGGCATACCAAGCAGGCTCTGGGATCATATAAAAGGTCGGATAAACCGTCTTAGTGAGTCCCATTCCTAAAAACGCTGTAAGTGCGCCTACCCCGTAGAAAAAGGAGCAAAATATATACCCGGCAGGGAGGGGTAAGAGGAAACGGTAACATGTCTCGGGTAGATTTCCTAGACACAAATGTAATGTGCAACATATCACCCAATATCGCACACAGATGAACGTAACATGATTTGAAATAACGGAGGTTGCCTGACGTACTACTTCCCCCTTAGGGGAAACTGTATTTACTGCTTTCAGTCAGCGACAAGTTCGAAAGGGTCCAGTAATACAGTCAACTATCTTTAAACAGACATCACGAGTTAGTCCCTGTCTTATTTGACCCTCTATGCATTGGACACCTAGAGTAGGTCATTTTCAGTCATTTTCTCTGACTCTCTATAAGGCGCACAGACACTTCCCGTCGCAGTGGCCACAGTCTGCCTTAGAGACTGTAAAGGAATAAAGATTCTACTTCACGTTTAGTCAAAACTTCAAACAAGAACAGTATAAAAATAGCTATTCAATTTATCTGAAGTTTCACTCACCTTAACAGCTTTCTGTATGTTGATAAGCGAAGATCGCAAGACTTATCGTTAGCCTGTTAAACCTGACCATTTCCTGCACCAATACCGTGTTCATACTCTGCGTAAAAGTGGTGGGGTATTTCCGCAGTGCCGCTTCCGTGTCAAAGTTCTTGTGTAAAATATCCTCAGCCATCCCAAAGAGTATCTCGTGGCCGGATTTTCCATCTTGGGCGGAAGCGCGAGACTACGTCAAAAGGATGCTGTTGAACAACTGTTGGGTTTCCTGTTGGTTCTTACTGATGTCTGCATTTGGCGTGCATTCCAAATACCTCAGGATGCGCAATGAGCGGAAGGCTGCGTCCGTACTCGATGTACGATGCGTAGTCGCCTTCTTTAGGAGCAAAGTAGCTGCCTTTTGGCGAAAACTTGTAGCCTTTATTGTCTATGATGGCCGCGCAGTAGAACGTATCCTGGATTGTCAACAGGGTTCGTCCATCACGTTACACGGCCTCTGTAGTTACATTCTCGTAAGGTGGCTCAGAGGGGCAAACGAGACGTCCTGTAACGCAAAAACACGCACCAGCGCACATTAAAACAGTAAGGACGAAACCTATATACAGGCGATTCGCTCTGACCGGACACCTCTAATTAACAATTATTATTCCACGAGTGCGCACTGGCTGTAATCATTTCATATCCAAACAAGCGCGAGTGCAATAATTGCTTTATTAAAAACGCCCACAAAATATCGAGAATTGTTCCCATCTTTATTTGTAAAAACAACCGATTATCAGTTTGTTTTTAATTTTGAGCAGACGCGTACCCTTACTATTTTTGGGGAGCATGGTATAATGGCTCATATACCATAATGGCTAAGCCAATCAGAGCTCTTGAATTGCATTCTCCAGTGATTCAGGTTTTAATAATTACCTGATAATGATGCCATTCTGAATGGAGAAACTGTCAGTTGGTAGCCCAGCTTGTTCCAGTCCCTTATCTTCACAGGGTCTCCCAAAGTCTCCGGTCACCGAGAAGTCATTCGAACAGGGGATGTTAGTGTCACGGAAAGCTTTCACCCATTCTGCAGTTTGTTGCTGAAAAGAGAAAATACTTCCTTAAAACAAGAGAAATCATTAGTCTCGCTTGCGCAAGCAGCGAGACTCATAATCGGCAACGCGTTTTTCTTCGTGTTTAGGACACAAAAGGGCAGTCACGTAAAAGAACACAACGAAGGCGTGAAAAGGCAAATTAAAGAGATCAAGGAAGACATAAACAAGCTCGGCAACGATGGTTTTAATGTTGAGGTCAAGTTGGATGAGCTCGAGCTCTTCTAGCGATGAGTCTGTCTCGAAATAACCGGTATTCCGGTCGTACCTAATGACAGCCCAGCGTTGCTGGTGACGGAAATGTTTGAGATTATGGGAGTGAACCTCAACGAAAACGATATATCGATCGCTCATTGTTCACCACCAACGAAGAAAGTGAAAGACCGACTAATTGTCAAGTTCACTCGAAGAGAGAAAAGAGACGAAATTTACAGCAAGAGGAAAAACTTAAAATCTAAGCGGACTAAAGATCACCAGTCTGTGGTCTGCGAGCCGGAATCTGCGGTTGTCAGTCATAAAGCCCAAATTCATGTCAATGAAAGCTTAACGCCATACAGAAAACGACTACTGGGCAGAATCTTACAATTCAAGCGCGACCACAACTACAAGTTTATTTGGACGGCTAACGGTAAAATAATGCTGAAGAAAACCGAGAGCTCAATTAATTAGGTATCAGTTTAATGACTTCTATAAACTTATATTATTACGGAGGCAAAAATTTCTGATTACCAGGAAAACGTAAGTAGATGTTGACCATTTTATGATTTAACTGAGTCTACTTAGATCCCACCCTCCTCTTTCCTGACTGCGATGATATTGGCTATTATCGCGATAATATCAAGTTAGAATCTACTATTTAGATCGCCCTTTCCTCTTTCCTGACTGCGATGATATTGGCTATTATCGCGATAATATCGTCAAGTTAGAATCTACTAGAGTCTATTTAGATCGCCCTTTCCTCTTTCCTGACTGCGATGATATTGGCTATTATCGCGATAATATTACGTTAGAATCTACTAGAGTCTATTTAGATCGTCCTTTCCTCTTTCCTGACTGCTATGATAAAGGATATTATCGCGATAATATCAAGCTAGAATCTACTAGAGCCTATTTAGATCGTCCTTTCCTCTTTCCTGACTGAAATGATATTGGATATTATCGCGATAATATCAAGCTAGAATCTACTAGAGTCTATTTAGATCGTCCTTTCCTCTTTCCTGAATGCGATGATATTGAATATTATCGCGATAATATCAGGTTAGAATCTACTCGAGTCTATTTAGATCGCTCTTTCCTCTTTCCTGAAAGCGATGATATCGGATATTATCACAATAATATCATGTATGACAGTATAAGGGAAAAATATCGGATAATATATATTATCGTTCGATAGAGTTAGTAAGTTAGTAGTAGAAATATCTGATGAAAAAACTTGATATTTTCAGTCTGATAAAAAGTTTGATAATGTTCTATGTTAAACCCATTCTAGATCAATTATAAAAATCTGATAACTATCCTTTCGATATCGCAGCTTTATGCAAATCCAAATAAATTCGACGAGTGCGACCCAGATTTAATGTTAAATACCCCCTGCTCAGAATATTATTCAGTCTGTAGCTTTAATAAAATGCTTGTAAATTCAGACGCAAAAACCTTTTCAGTTCTTCACTGTAATATTAGAAGTTTATCTAAAAAGCTAAATCTATTAGAAGAACTATTATGCTCCCTTGACTCCAAGCTGGATATACTTGGAATAACAGAAACTAAATTAGGTGAGAAGTCTATTTCTAATGTAAATATCAAAGGCTATGATTTTTTTCACACGGACTCGCCAACAAACGCAGGTGGAGCTGCTTTATATATAGCTAATAATCTTAAGGCTGTACTTAGGCCTGACATTAAATTTGACGTAGCGCTAGTTGAATCGTGCTGGGCAGAAATTGATGCTGGTTAAGGTAAAAAGAAGATCATAATAGGTTGTATCTACAAGCATCCCACTTGTAATTTAGAACAGTTTCGCAACCAACTAATGGCCTGTTTACATGAAGGTTGGGGACCCCAGGTAGGTGAGGTAACCCGCTAAGGTGAGGTAACCCGCCTGTACATATAATCTCTCATTTTAATTTGATCACGTTTACATGATAGAATAATGATGGGGTGAACCGCCAAGGCGGGTTGCCCGGTCTGGGTAACCCTCTCAGCCGGGGTCAAATTTTGCCATGTCAAAGGAAACTTTTCAAGGTGGGGTAACCCGCCTAGCCGGGGTCGGATTCGCGATACATCAAATTCGCGCAAAATTTACTTTGGCGGTGACTTTGCATCATTATTAAAGTTAACAACAGAAACAATAGAAAGAATAGAAGAGCATTAATCGCCAAAACACGTGGTTTGCCAGCATTTTACTTCTTTACGTGCTTAGCGACCATTCAGTAATGTCGAGAAAGTGCACCCCGGAATGGCGCGGTTGTAAAATTGCATGTAAAGGGGAGTTATTTTTTTACCCCACCTATTTGGGGTCCCTTACCTCGATGTAAACAAGCGCTAAATGATATAATCAAAACAATTAATCCCAATAGACACGAAATTTACATCTTTGGAGATATGAATATAAATTTCCTGAAATTCAATGAACATACTCAAACTGAAGAGTTTTTAGATATGCTTTATGCCAATAACATCTTGCCGATCATTACTAAACCTACGAGGCTTACTGATCACACAGCAACACTCATTGACCATATATATACAAATTGTTTACAAAATTTCACAGCAGGAATCCTGACAGTTGATATAACAGATCATCTTCCGATTTTCTGCTTAGTCAGAACCCAGCCTACACGGAATAATAGTAACAAAAAATATTTTCGAGACTACTCTAAATTTAATAAAGATCTATACTTAGATGATATAAAACTGATTGATTGGCACGAAATCCTCAACCCAGAAAAGAATCTAAACGAATAGCTACAGGAGGCAATCAGTACCCTGAATAAAATTGTAGACAAACATGCGCCTATCAAGCTGGCTAGCCAAAGCAACCAAAGGCAACTTAAAAAGCCATGGCTCACTAAGGGTATCTTAAAAACAGAAAATGTACCGTACGCATTAAATTTTTCTTAAGCAAGGACTTACAAAAAATCGGGGAATATAAACATTATGCAGCTATTCTTTCACATCTTATGAATAAAAGTAAGACAGAATACTATAACATGAAATTTGCAAAGTACGAAGACAACCTTAAGCAAACTTGGAAACTTATTGGTACTCTTGTTGAAAGGAAAACCAAAGGTCAAACTTTCCCCACGAGAATCACTCACAATAACAGGACTTTTACACAAGAACAGGACATTGCCGAATTATTCAATAACTTCTTTGCAAACATTGGGGCAACTTTAGCAAAGGAAATCAAAACTGATCATACAGACCCTTTGCAATATATAGAATCTACGCCATCAAACAGTTTTTACCTTGCTCCAGTAACCCAAACACAAGTATTTACATTATTTGCTGGGCTAAAAGAAAACAAAGCATCCCTTATTGTTCCTAACAAGCTTATTAAACTTGCAAGTGAACAGCTCTCTGCATCCTTTACTGAAATATATAATGAATCAATATTATCTGGGGAGTTTCCTGAAATCTTTAAGATATCAAAAGTAACCCCAATATTTAACAGTGGTAGTCTATCTGAGTCAGGAAATTACAGGCCAATAGCAGTTATTTCTCCCTTTAGTAAAGTACTGGAAAGACTAGTTTATGACCAAATTGTGTCCTACCTGGAAAAAGAATGTCCACTTTTTAATTTCCCATTTGGCTTTCGAAAGGGATATTCCACTAAATATGCCATTCTAGAAACTGTGGAAAAATTAAAGTCAGCAGTTGATGATCAAAAAATAACATGTGGCATCTTTTTAGACTTTTCCAAGGCCTTTGATACAATTAACCACCATATTCTCTTAGAAAAATTATATAAGTATGGGATCCGAGGACTCCCCCATGCATGGTTTTCACGCTATATAACTAATCGTAAGCAATATGTCAAAGTTGGTAATACGGAATCTAGGCTGAAAACCGTCACATGTGGTGTACCTCAAGGCTCCACACTAGGTCCACTGCTGTTTCTATTGTATATTAACAATTTGCCCAGGTCTTCGAAGAAATTAACTTTTAGGATTTTTGCAGATGATACAAATATGTTTTATTCTTCAAAAGACCCAGAACAATTACAGTCAGTTATCAATGAAGAATTTGGAAAGGTCTTGAAATTCTGTGAATTATTTCATATACTTCACATCATTTCACTCCTCACAGGAGATATGAACTCAATAAATTGACCTCGCTCCCAATGTGTGGCTTCATAGCTCAGTTGGTAGAGCGATGCACCGGCAACGCGGAGTTCACGGGTTTGAATCCCGTTGAAGCCCTGATTTTTTTCAGGCTTCTTCTTTCCAATTGCTTAAAATAATTGGAAAATTTACTGCGATGATCATTCTTCACTCTCATCTACAACCGCAGTTCAAAAAATGAATTATTTCATACACTTCACATCATTTCACTCCTCACGGGAGATATGAACTCAATAAATTGACCTCGCTCCCAATGTGTGGCTTCATAGCTCAGTTGGTAGAGCAATGCACCGGCAACGCAGAGTTCACGGGTTTGAATCCCGTTGAAGCCCTGATTTTTTTTCAGGCTTCTTCTTTCCAATTGCTTAAATTGGAAAATTTACTGCGATGATCATTCTTCACTCTCATCTACAACCACAGTTCATTAAAAATGAATTATTTCATATACTTCACAGCAATTACGCTGTCCATTAACTTCAAGAAGACTAATTACATGAAAATTACTTCACCTAAGGAGAAAACAAATATCAGAATAACAGCTTGTAATACAGAGCAAAAGTCCCAGATTAAATATTTGGGTGTCTTTATTGATGAACATCTAAAATGGGATGCTCAGCTCCAGCACATTAACAACAAAATAACAAAAAACATTGGGATTTTATTTAAGCTTAGACATTTTGTGCCTATAAGTACACTCAAACAACTGTACTATACTCTCATATATCCGTATCTAATGTATGGATTAATGAGCTGGGGTACCGTATATCAAACTAAGTTAAATAAAATCAAAGTAAGTCTAAATAAGTCATGTATTCGTGCATCTTCTTTGCAAACAAAAGAGAAAGTCCCACACCGTACTTTACACTAATAGAGATCTTAAAGTTAGAGAATATCTTTAAATAAAAAATTGGCACTCTTGTGCATAAAATTCAATATCAAAAAAAGAATACACCTCCTGCTCTCTATGACTTAGTTCAACCGGCTTCAGTTGTCCATAATTGTAATACTAATGTTAGGTATGCCACTAATCAAAACCTGTGCAGACCATTTTCCAGAACTAATTATGGTCTAGCAAGGTTTAGTGTAGTGGCATCACAGACCTGGGAAGCAACACCTATGAAAATTAAGTGTCTCCCCTCGAACAGTTTTAAAAAAGAATATAAACTCTTTCTACTTGACAGTCAGGTATCTTGAACAACTCTAATCTGTTATTTAGCTCTATTTATTTAATTATTTAATTTAAATAGTTTTTTATAAGTATTGTGTAACCTCCACCCACTTGTAACTGCTCTGTGATAGTAGCCAACTCGAAAGCTTGGCTCCTTTGGCTGTTACACACTCTTTTCCTTTGTTAGGTTTAATTCAATGTATAGTTAGCTCTGTTTTTTTCTTATTGTTGTTGTATTGTAATTGAATAAGTGTGAATAAATGAACTTGAACTTGAACTTGGACAGTCCGTTGCGAGTCTTGATTCTCGACTTGATTAGCGATTTATTTACTCTAAGAAAATTAGGAGAGTTATTTACCTTGCCTTCAGGGTTGCTTTCTCTTGCTGATCTTGTTATCCAACAGTCATTCCCGTGAGTTGTTTTGCAAGTTGCCATTCTATTCCACTTCACCAAGAATCTCAAATATGTGATGCAATGTTGTCAATCACTAAAAGAAAAATTGACAAAAATTAACTTGATTTGACCTAGCATTTTAAAGAACAGAACTTGTATAAGAGTTTTTTAGATACCTTATCTCATGTCAGGTCAGTTTATCAGGTTAAGAGTCCATAATTTGTATTTTGAATGGAAATTTAACTGCTTTTACATCCTTATTATCAAGGTGTCCATAAAAGCAAGGTGTTCACATGGCCAGAATTGACTTTACTAGGGGGTTCCATTTCTGGGGTGGAGATACTCCCTCATTTGGTCTAGACAGGGATGTTGCGCTGTACAGGGTATGGTTTTCAGCGTCTTGAGTCTTCCCCACTATTTTGCATCTTTAACAGGGAGTGTTTTTGAACTGGAAGCCTTTAAAAGAGTACGTGTGAAGGCTGCAGGTTCCATGAAATTAGTATGAAAAAATTACCTAATTCTGTATGCAACAGCTAGCTAATCAGGGTTACAGTTGAACCTTGATTATCTGGACTTTTCAATTATACACACTTGTTTTGCTGGTCCCGTTTTTTATGAATATTTACCCTTTAAGCCCTAAGAGTGATCAGCATCAAGTTTCTCCTTGTAATATGAATGCCTTGTAAAACAGAGTGGTCACTAGCAAGGCTGCTGCCTAACGGGTGCCAGGTTACCAGAGAAAAAACAGGGAACCCAAACAGACACCTAAAACATTATCATTCTCAGGCTAACTTCCAGTGAACAAACAACAAAATACCCTGCTCATTCTGCACTTTTGAAACAACAAAGGAAAACATTGTTTGATCGTCGGCCATGGGAAAATATATATTACTGCTGATAAAAGGTAAAGAAACAGCACTTATGTCTTGAAATTCACTTCTGTGACTTCTGCTGCAGAGCAGTTGAAGTTTCTCGTCTGAAAATGGTGTCAAATGAACAATTTAATAGTCTTTGAAAAACCTTTGATAATAAAATCATGACTTTTCCTTCAGCATTAGAAACGTTAGGTCACTACTGCATGAAGTAAAAACTGAGGAAAAGTTGCGATCCGTGGAAAAGAAAGCTGGTTTCAAATTACATGTGACATTGGTATGCTATCAACTTTGCAAGTTTGTAGCGTTTTCTATCTTGCTAAGAACACAAACGGTACTCTTGGAGGTTTCTTTTATCATTTATTCAGCGTTATCTACGCCTTCCTTTACTGTACGTTTTGTGAGAACTTTTAAAAGGTTCGCAAAAATATTCCAGTTTTTAAAAACAATTTACAGCGGCTATTCAAGATCATATTTCAATCTCTTTTTAATTTACGCTGTCGCGTGCGATGCCTGTAAATACAAACCTTCACAAATATAAAAACAGTTGTGATAGTTCAAAAGATAGACTTGACACAAAAATACTGAGTCAATTTTCCAAACTTCCAGATAAAAACCTTTTGTTGGTCCTTTTTTATCACTCAAAAGCTTAAACTTAACTTCGCTCAAATTGTAGACGCAAGTTCCATTGGTCCGTGCATTCAATGTATGTGCGAATGGTTATTGTTATGTTTCTCGAGAAATAAATCGTTTCCTGAAATCCTTTTCAGTGGTGAGTATAAAAAATGCTCGGTTTTCGTGTTTCGAAACTCGATTCATTCGAGGCTCGAGTATTGTTCCAGTTTTGTCTCCTGATGCAACGCTCCTTTTATGCCTTCCCGACTTATCTAGGAAGATCAAAGGGCCTCTGCTCACAGGGTATAAATTGAGAAACAACAACAACTTCAAAGATAGATCTTTCCAGCGATATCTCATTTTGGATATTCTGACTAATCCTGTCAGAGTTACACTCACTATAAAAAAAGGTAACATTTTGGGGAAAAACCCGGCCACTGCCAGTTTCACTGTTTACATACTACTCTTTGAAGATTAATTTGCCTCTTTCCTAAAAAGTTAGCCAGCCACAATTCCATGCAAAACAAGGACGATAAAGTGGGCAACATAACTGCTAATAAACAAGAAAGGCAAAGGAAAAAAAGAGAGCAAGAGAGAAAGATTGAAATGGATTCGCAAAAGAGGGTCCAAATTTTGGCTTTTGCACATGCGTGAAAAACAAAAAAGCTGTTTAATTATGTCAGATTAGTCGAAAAACATGCCTTTTTCCTTGCAAAACTCTATTTCAGCCTTTCTTATGCTAATTAGCTGAAAACCAGTCCAAAGAAGAGGAATTGGTGAAAAATGCAGTTTTTGCACTACTTGATGGCCGTCACCGAAGGGTTAATAAAGTTAATGATCTTTTTAATTGGGCTCCTAGAAATGCGGCTTGGGCTCCTAACTTTTTGTTCTAAATTTCTTAGGCAGCAGCCTTGCACTAGAATTACAGACGTGATCACACAAGATGAATTTGCTTGATATTTTATCAACTTCTCCCCTCTACTTCTGTCGGAAATGAATACGGGCAACAAATGAGAATTTAAATTTTGATATTAGAGTTTAAAGGGTTAATTAAAGATGTGATCTTGAAAAATTGAAACGATTAAAAGTTCATTTAAATCCTTCCAAACGTCCGTTTAAAACACTGTTTTAATCTGTTTCGCTTTGAAAAAGCGCAAGTGGCACAAGATGAACAATAATTATTCAGCTGAATTCTAATACGCTCAATTGTTATGTTGCTAAGGGAATGTCATGCTTGATTCCACATTGGTTCGATCATAAACTCAAATCACTGCCATGTCTATGCAATGAAAGCAGTCTGTTATTTCGATAAAGGATAAGCAAACCATTATTTCACATTTGGAGAAAAGTGAAAAAGGAACAAATTTAGCACTCAAGTTTAAAATCAGCAAGCAGCAGATCTCAGATGTACGCAAAAACAAAGAGAAGATCCTGAAATTCACCGACAGTGTTGAGACAAGCATAGGATTGAAAATACAGGTTTTAAAGGCTTCAGCAGTACACCTCTACCATTGAAAATTACAGCTTACCCAAAGGGTAAGATATTATTCTTTAGTAAAATCCAACTAGTGGTCTATTATCTATGCTGCATTCTGTTATAGCCCACTAGTAGCAAAAAGCGCCGGCGTTTTGGCAGCCAAAAGGATTAACGTCTAGCTTTAACTAGCTTAAATTGTTTTGTCCTGATATTTTTGACCAGCTAGTTGGATTTTACTAAAACAATAATTATTATTCCTCTCGCCCTCATAGCCCTCATAGCCTCATGGACTATTGACTCACAGCCCATTCAGGCTCGAGGAATAATTGTTAATAAGTTTAATACCTAAGATCTCTGAGGAGCTTCACACATATGTGCAGCCTATTATAACCCATTTTTTACCAACATGGCCTTGAAAAAGCAACATAAGGCTAGATGAAATTGAAACATGGGTAAATACCAACTGGGCAGAGGAACATGGCCTACTCCTCAAAATGGGAAATGACCATACTTGAAATTCAGACTAGGGAGATACACACCCCCCCCCCCGCCACCCATACTTGTCCAACACTCCGAGAAACTTATGCATGGCTTTGTTTAATTTCTCATTGTATTTTTTGTTCTTTGTTCTTATACTTTTGTACAGAATTTTCCTAACAATAACAATAACAATAACAATACAATGCCATGCATAAATTTGTCAGAGTATTGGACAACCCTCCCCCTTCCAAGAGCAGACCTCTCAAGCCTCACGGTTTTGAGGACAATCTCATGGTCTCACGATGAGGCACAAAATCTCACGGTAAACAGATTCACAAGCCGATGGAATACACTTTTTGAATATTTTCATTTTTGCCTCGAAAAAGTGATTTTCATGCGTCAATTATGTAGAAATTACAGGTTTCACTGTAGATGGGGATGGTAAAATGTCCGGAGAAGGGCTACCTTAAAATTACTTGATAGTGATCAGATTTAAAACATTAGCTTAATCCTTTCACTAACATTATCTAAATATTTCATGCTTATGAGACCAACATTTTCTGTGTTATAGCCTTAAACTTTTAGTTAAGCTCGAGCATACCTCACAAGAACTGTGCGAGACCTTCTGCCAAGCCACGTCCGTGAATTTCTATGCCATAAATAAAGCCAAGTGTTGACGAATAAGTTAAAGATCCGATCGAGGTGATATGCGAGTACCTGGAGTCTAAAAATGTCACTTTAGGTCCAATTAATAATTTAACTACACACATGTTCTGCCTGCTCCGTCGCCATATTTATTTCTTTTAGTGCCCAGTCTCAATTAGCGCGCGAGTTTCGCGCGCGAGCTTTCAGAGCACTCGTTTCGCGTTTCTCGAGTACTCGATCGAAAACGCGATCAAACGCTATCGCCTTTTTCATGAAACATCAAGGTTTATGGGTGAGAAAAAAGTAAATTTTATTCCAAACAAATAAGTAATGAAACCAGCCTATTGACGAACCAGAAAGCAACCTCGTTCCCAGGTTCTCTCTCCTTACTGAGGACTTTTCAAATAATCGAACCTTAGTTACCAACAGTAATATAAGTGAAAAATCCTTCGTGTAAAACTAAAGTGTATATATAAAGGCATCAGTCCAATAAATACGGAATGACAATTTTACTTCCTGCTAAAAGGTAGAAGTAACTTCTCAACCACATGATTTATTTCAATTGATGCTATAATATTGAAAAACTAAGAAACACAAGCAGATCCGAGTATTCCAAAGGGATTTGCACCTACGATCTTCCAGGACGGCTATGAGCAACCTCGGGGAGCGATATGCCATACCACTAGACCGATGTGTGTATTCAAAATCGTGGCAGACTTTGGCTGCTTTTGATATATAATAATCATTCACACCTATCACTGAACCTGTAATAGGATGGACTCCTGACAATTGACATTCTTAAGAACATAGTTGTATGACCGAGCAAGGCAGCAAGAAGAGTCTCTCATACCTCAGTGGTAGTAAGGGCATCCAACCGGTGGAAGTTCTTCTGTACAATTTGAAGAGGGTTTCAGTCTAACACGCCTTTTAACAGACTTTTGTATACTACTGAAATAAAGCTTTGGGTTTGAACCCTGACCCTGTTTACTAAGTATCCTCTTCCCTCAAATGAGAGCTTTAGCTCAGAAAACAGCTAAGTTGCCCCTCCCCCCCCCGGGGGGAGAAACTCCGCATATGAAAGGGGTTGGGGATGCTCGTCGTCTCGCTTAGGGGTGTAAATTTCGGATTTTGGTCACACTTAGGGTGTTCTGGGTAAAACGCCATCATATTTAGCCGTAAAGGTCTCGTTTAGGGTTGCATATGAAAAAATTTTAAAATATATTTATTGTCTGTGTTTCAATATGGTCAAAAAAAGCTTGGGCCACGCCCAGATCGGCCTCCTTTAGGGGTTTTATTCAAAATTTTCGACGAGAATCCCCAACCCTTTCATATGAAGAGTCAACCCCCCCAACCCGGAACCTACCCTATTTATAGTCAGATGCGTAAATCTAATGGGAATGAGCTAACAAATTACACAAAGACGCTGAAACGATTGATAGGCAGGCTCATTTCTAAGAAAACCAGAGTGACATACCTGGAGAGAGTTTAGAATTTGCCGACATTCTAAAGATCTCAAGTCCGTTTCATAAACCGGGTTCATAATGCTGTAAGAGGACCAACTCAGAATAAAGCCCAGCTTCTAAATTCTAGTGAGCACCCACCCATTCATTGCTGTCAGTTTTTTGGTTACGTTTGAAAAAAAGGGTCAACCCTAGAAGGTAAGACAGGGCAGGGCAGAGGATTGGAAAACGTCCCACTCAAAACAGGAGAATACAATTTCACCAATCGCCTGAGTTGTTAAGTCTTATCGGTCACTAATGGGGGATCTTTCGATATACACGATAGCAAGTCTTAGAGGACACAAACTTGTTTATTCATTTTCTTTGTTTGTGTCCTCTAAGACTCGCCATCATGCTGAATTGTTTTAGAACTTTCCGCTGAAAACCACTACTCTCTGGTCAATTCTGGTGAGCACCCACCCATTCATTGCTGTCAGTTTGAAAAAAAAGGATCACCCATAGCAGGTAAGACAGGGCGGGGCAGAGGATTGGAAAACGCCCCATTCAAAACGGGAGAATACGATTTCGTCCATCGCCTGAGTTTAAGTCTTATCAGTCATTAATGGGGGTCTTTCAATATATAAAAATTCAGCACGACAGCGAGTCTTAGAGGACACAAACATGTTAATTCATTTCCTTTGTTTGTGTCCTCTAAGACTCGCCATCATGCTGAATTGTTTTAGAACTTTCCGCTAAACACTGTCACAACTCTAAAACAGTAATCAGTGAAACATTGTGGCGGTGATTGATCTTAGGCAAATAAAAAAAGCTTAAAAACAATACCGTAATTATCGTATTGACGCAAAGCAGGGGCACCCAACGACGGCTTTGTAAAATATCTGTTCGGAAAAGCAAATATTGCCTAGAATTTTCTTTTATTTGAGGACAGCAAAAAATTTCTAGATGACCGTTCCATTCGTGTACAATTTTCGGAAATAAATTCCCTACGATTTTCTAAAGTAAGTTTAATTTTTCACATTTCACTCCCTAGGTTAGGCCATTTTTCGTAGAAAAAAGGAAACCTAAAATTATTTCCGTATTCAAAAATGTGATGGAGAGAGGAATCAGAAACATTTTCACTTTCAAAATACGTTAAATTGCATCTAAAATTTTGGGGACAATAATACAGAAGGCCTTGTAATGTCGAAAAGACTCAAGCACCCTAGGATAACCGAATAGATTTAGAATGTATTTCTAGAGATCTATTAAAAAAGCACTCAGGATAGCCTAAAAAGTGTTTTCAATGTATTTAGGAGGAAACCGTCGTTGGGTGCCCCTGGCAAAGAACACTTAATTCCAGAGAACACTTTTATTTATTTATTACAATTTAATGGCAAAAGGTTTCAGGTAAGTGATAAATACAAAGGCATTGCCATAAGGACGGTCTGTAAAAGAGTCAAAGACCCAATACAAGACAGACCACCTTCTAAAAAATATTCATATCATAAAAACTAAGATTAAATAAGACAGACAATTAAAAAATGTGAAAATGCATATGGAGATATGTACAAAAAAGACGATCAGTAAAATAATAATAGTAATAAAAAAATCACATATTTCCAGCTAAAAGTCCCTCACTCCTTTCTTAAAACTAGCAATAGTTGTTGCCTGACGAACAAGCAATGGTAGAGTGTTCCACATGTCCGCGATCCTATTGAAAAAATTAAACTTAAATGTATTATAGCATAATTCTTTTTAAGAGCACATTCATTTTTTCCCGTTAAAGGATACCGATCAGAATCTGAGAAAAAAAATGTACATATGTAGATAGATCAATATTTATATAGCCATTCAGGGCTTTATACAGGAATGATACGCCAAATAAAAATCGCCTTTGTTCTAAGGACAACAAATTGAGCTTTTTTCTCCGTTGTCCGTAATCATCATGGTCTTCAAAATAAACTTAGTTGCCCTTCGTTGAATTCGCTAAAACTTAGAAATATTTCTAGATGTGTGTGGTGACCACACAACACTGCAATACTCTAGTTGTGATCTGACCAGGGCAAGATACAGAGTTCTCAATGTGGAAACATCTTTAAATCCTGTACAGGTCCCTTAGACCTAGGATCTTGTTGGCCTTATTCGATATTTTATCAATATGAGTGCTCCAAAACAGATTGCAGATTGCATTAGTTTACATTTCTTCACGTTAAACTCCCTAAGGTTTTGTTGACTCTATGCATATAAATTGTCGAGATCTGGGCCGGGTTGTTCGAAGCTGGGTTAAGGTAACCCACGGTTAGTGCGAAATTTGAACTCAGATATGAGAGCTTAAAAAGCAAATTCAGTTTAATTCTCTTTGCCTACAATTTGATGACTGGATACTCTAAAAAGAATAGTGAAAATTATCCTATAGTGTGCTTTTCTTTTTATCAGTGATAAAAAGAAAAAGAAACCTGGGTTAAAATTTTATCCCAGGTTAGCAATAACCGGCGTTCGAACAACTGGGCCCTGACTGAAATACGGATATGATCAGCTGGACAGTTTATAATCCTGGATGTTTTGCAGTCGTCAGCATACAATGACACACATTTTCCATGCATTACTACTTCAGGCAAATCACTAAGGAAAATTACAAAGAACAAAGGGCCCAATAAGGAGCCCTGAGGTACGCCCGATGGAATAGCACACCATGTACAATTTATTCCTTCTATGACAACTCTCTGTTCTGTGTCGGTGAGATAATCCTTACACCAATTCAAAGCGCACAGGAGATACCAAAATCACACATTTTTTTCAGCTGCATATTATGTGCCACTCTGTCAAAAGCCTTTGCAAAGTCCAGGAGAACAACGTCCACCTGTTTGCCCTCATCCAAGGCCTTTGACCATTGATGGTGTGACAGAACTAACTGAGTAAAATCATATTATAACTTAGATATCTATTTGGCATTTCATCACATTTGTCAAGATCAGTACATTTACAAAGTTTATCAAACCAAAGTAATACTCGTGCTGATGTAAGACATGTAAGTAATTGAGATTATTTGAAGCAACCGTGATTTGAAGGGCAGGCCTTGACGAGAGTAGCAGAAGTCACGTAGAACGAAAGAAGCCCTGACTAATATAGTAGACGTAGGTTCAGAAGTTCTATACAACTTTGACGTCTCCACTATGAGGACGACTAATTGGAGCACAAGGAGAAGAGATAGCCAGGACCACGCTCAGCTCATGCTTCACCTTCCTCCGTAACGTATCAAAATGGCGCCTGCTTTAAAAAGTACAATTATCACCTGTTCACTTTGGCTTAGACAAAACTGCTTCATTGAGATCCTAGGTATATACATTTATGTACAGCTCTGACAGTAGTTGTCAACTTCAACATGTTTCCTCTCAGTTTACAAGTTCTTTGTTTCCGTTGCACCTTCGCCATCTTTCAAACTGCTCTTATCAAATGCACCTGCGATTCAAATAGAAAAAACTAATCATGACGGTTCCCTTTCGTATGTATTCTTTGAACAATTTATTTTAGCCATCGATCAACATGCTTCTGTTGCTCGTTGTGCTAAATGTTTTACCTAAATATCTGGCACGGATTTTTTCAAAGTCAAACAAATAACGAAACCTTTACATTTTGAGGAATCATTTGTATGCTAAAAATTCAGTCAAGTCATATTGTATCACTTTCAGCTTAAATGTGATTCGTATAATATTTGCACCGCATACCTATCGTTCCGACACGGAGAACTAAGTTGTGGGAGGCAACCGCGACTGCCAGGACAACAGGCACGCCGAATAATGAGAGTAAGCGACGTCAACCGCCACCAGGGGAGGTGGGAGGGGCGAAACTTCTAAGTCACTTCCACTGAACCCCGTTGAACTAGCCAAGAGGCGGGCAAAAACTAAGCAGTTCTAACCCAGGTCGCAATGCATCATGTTACGAGCGCGCAGGCCCAACACAACGGAATTTAAAAGAGTTACTTAATTCTAGCGTCACCGGCCAATTATGTATGCAGTGAGAATATTTTTCTTTATTTCAAATTCCTTCGTTTCGTTTGGTGTTTGTATACTGATCAGATTATAACTTGAAGCAGGAGATTGATATCAAGCCAACCATGCTATCCATTGCCACCCGAGCAGCCCAAGCAGCCTGTGCAATGGTTGCCCATCAGCCATCTCCTCTGGTACAAAATCGCGACTACGAAGAGAACTAAAGCAAAACGTATTGTAAAACCCAATCGAATCGAATGAAATACTTTCTTGGGGGCATATTAAATCTTTCGACTTCTCCGCGGAACAAGCATCATAAGAGAGGCGATTGATGACAATAAACCTCCTTTTAAGAGCACACGAAATCGACAAGGGATTTGCCCTGAGCTCATTTGCCAGAAAAATACCTGTATAAAATAGAAGTTGCAAAATCAAATGCTCCTGCAGCTGCTTGGGTCATATTAAGTACCCAGGGAATCTTCCAGTCTGCTCTTAAACTCTCGCCCACCGGTAATTAGTACGTATACCCTCTGCACTGTCTCTGGTTCCCTGAGGATGAATCTTTTTAAGACTAAAAATACTAGCAGCGCTTTTTTTTGCCTCTTCCAGGCTCTCAGATTGTAGGGATGAAGCGGTGAAACGCGTGCTGAGCGACTCAGTCGCGGAACCTCGAACAGGCTACATTTTGTCTTTCATCAGGAATAAGTGTGTTTAACACTTCCTTCTCTTCTCTGTAATATATTAATAAATTGTTTTCGTATGCTCTTTGGAATCTCAAATATCGTTTTTTACATTTTCACTTTAGTTAGTTAGAGATCCGAGCATGCTTTACGAAATATTCCATAAAAATCGGAAAATAATGAAAATCGGCCTTCTCTCCAGTTGCCTCACTTCCATAACCAGGGTTGGAAAAGACAATAAATTAAAAAAAACTACGAAAACTCAGTATAACTCCCTTCATAATATTTTTCAAAATGATGCGTAGTGTCACGAACATCAATTTCACAAATTTTGACTAAGATAACTAAAAAACCTAAAAATGATGTCAAATACAAACCTTTGAATGTCACATCATCTCCAATCAGCATAAAGGGTGCCCACTGCTTGACGTCAGAAAAGCGAGTCTCTCTCATCGACTTCATGGCCTGATGAAGAGATTCACTGGCACTTTCACCACGGACAAGGTGCTCGTAAAAACGATTCATAAACCACATGGTAGCTTTGTCCTCTATAGCCCACAGTGCCGCCAGCACGGCGCGTGCACCCGATGCTAGAAATGCTCGAGCGATTCCAACAACTCCCTCAGCTCTAATCTGACCACTTGCACTATGACAGCAGCTAAGGACAACCAGCTTGGCTGTTAGTCGAACTTGTGAAATTTCAGCCATCGTTAATAAGTAGCTTTCTTCGTGTGGAGTTCCGCAGGAGCTTATAGGGGAAAGAGCTATTTCTCCACGTTCGGCATAACCATGAGCAGCGAAGTGAATGAGACTTACTGAATGCATGCTTTCCAGGACTGCCTGCTTAGTTGCATCCTTTCCAAGCAACGGTTGAACACCGAGCAGTCGCCCAATCATCTCTGCTTCCTTTCTCGCCCAAGGCAGTGAGTTTAACTGTAGAATTTTTCCTCGATAGTATACATCACTAACTTCTGGCTCCCCTACGATCAATGCACCGGTTTTACTATGGTAGTCTGCTGGACTAAGCTGAATCAACTTAAGAGTCGTCAAGGAAGGGACAATGCGAATCCTGAAAGTATCCGATAAATAATTTCCATTACCATCCATTAAAGCAGAAAAAGGAATTGGATACAACAAGTTATCCGGTATAATAATGATTTCTGATTCTTGGAGTAAGTCAGCTACAGGAGCGACTATCATGTTGTAACCATCAGCAAGGGTCAAAGGTTTAGAGTCGTGATTTTCGTCTTCCTCTTCTTCGATAAGACGCAAAGATTCGAAGCTGTCACTCTGAGATTGTTTGCTTGATAGCGGGGAACTTACACTTGAAAATAATGATCGATCTTCGCATTGGTCTTGACGTAAATCACGAGAGCCACCAAATGTCTGATTTCCAAACACTTTATCTGCACTTTCTTTGAATCTCGTTTGTCGGAAAACTATCATTTTGTTTGGCTTGAGGATCCAAAAGTACATATTATCAGCGAAGCAGGAAACATAAAGACAAGAACTAAGTGCATTTTTGTTCATAATGTTCTCCATACCAATCCATGACTGTGGGTTGACTGATACCCCTTTTTCCACAGAGTACTTATCTGAAAGTACGTCTGTCAGTGCTCTGGATCGTCCAAGCTCGGCAACGTAAAGAGCTTCATAATAACTGCCTGTAGCAATTAACAAGCTACAAAGAAGAATGTAAGGGGACACATGCTCATCAAAAAAGGAAATTTTGAATTCATCTTTCACTCTTAAAAAATCATGCATTTTTTCACACTTCTGAATGCTTTCATGCAGATTTCGCAGAAGTTCAGTTATGCTTCCTTCTGCCACGAACTCGTTCAGAGCAATGGTAAGGTGGCTGTTAAACTGCAGTTCAATGTCCCCTATTTCGTAACTTATCTCAAGTGCTTTATTAGCAAATTCTTGACTCTTTGCAGTAAGTTGAGGTTCTCGACAAAGTTTTCCCAGATTTAAGTATGAAGCTCCAACACCAGCTTTGTCACCGATTTCTGTCCAGATCGCTAGTGCTTTTTGAAGGTATTCTTCAGCCTTGGTATATTGACCAACACAGCCAAACACAGTTCCTAGATTTCCGTAATCTGCTGCTTCTCCTTGTTTGTCACCGATTTCTTTCCTGATCACTAGTGCTTTTTGAAGGTATTCTTCAGCCTTGGTATATTGACCAACACAGCCAAACACAGTTCCTAGATTTCCGTAATCTGCTGCTTCTCCTCTTTTGTCACCGATTTCTTTCCTGATCACTAGTGCTTTTTGAAGGTATTCTTCAGCCTTGGTATATTGACCAACAGATTTAAAGACAGTTCCTAGATTTCCGTAAGCAGATGCTTCTCCTTCTTTGTCACCGATTTCTTTCCTGATCACTAGTGCTTTTTGAAGGTATTCTTCAGCCTTGCTATATTGACCAACAGAGCCAAACACAGCTCCTAGATTTCCGTAATCTGCTGCTTGTCCTTTCTTGTCACCGATTTCTTTCCTGATCACTAGTGCTTTTTGAAGGTATTCTTCAGCCTTGGTATATTGACCAACAGATTCAAACACAGCTCCTAGATTTCCGTAATCTGTTGCTTCTCCTTGTTTGTTACCGACTTCTTTCCTGATCACTAGTGCTTTTTGAAGGTATTCTTCAGCCTTGGTATATTGACCAACAGATTGAAACACAGTTCCTAGATTTCCGTAATCTGCTGCTTCTCCTTGTTTGTCACCGATTTCTTTCCTGCTCACTAGTGCTTTTTGAAGGTATTCTTCAGCCTTGGTATATTGACCAACATATACAAACACATTTCCTAGATTTCCGTAAGCAGATGCTTCTCCTTCTTTGTCACCGATTTGTTTCGTGATCACTAGTGCTTTTTGAAGGTATTCTTCAGCCTTGGTATATTGACCAACAGATTTAAACACAGCTCCTAGATTTCCGTAATCTGTTGCCTCTCCTCTTTTGTCACCGATTTCTTTCCTGATCACTAGTGCTTTTTGAAGGTATTCTTCAGCCTTGGTATATTGACCAACATATACAAACACAGTTCCTATATTTCCGCAAGCAGATGCTTCTCCTTTTTTGTCACCGATTTCTTTCGTGATCACTAGTGCTTTTTGAAGGTATTCTTCAGCCTTGGTATATTGACCAACAGATTTAAACACAGCTCCTAGATTTCCGTAATCTGTTGCTTCTCCTCTTTTGTCACCGATTTCTTTCCTGATCACTAGTGCTTTTTGAAGGTATTCTTCAGCCTTGGTGTATTGACCAACAGAGCCAAACACAGTTCCTAGATTTTTGTAATCTGCTGCTTCTGCTTGTTTGTCACCGATTTCTTTCCTGATCACTAGTGCTTTTTGAAGGTATTCTTCAGCCTTGGTATATTGACCAACATATACAAACACAGTTCCTAGATTTCGGTAAGCAGATGCTTCTCCTCTTTTGTCACCGACTTCTTTCCTGATCACTAGTGTTTTTTGAAGGTATTCTTCAGCCTTGGTATATTGACCAACAGATTTAAACACATCTCCTAGATTTCCGTAATCTGTTGCTTCTCCTCTTTTGTCACCGATTTCTTTCCTGATCACTAGTGCTTTTTGAAGGTATTCTTCAGCCTTGGTATATTGACCAACAGAGCCAAACACAGTTCCTAGATTTCCGTAAGCAGATGCTTCTCCGTTTTTGACACCGATTTCTGTCCAGATCACTAGTGCTTTTTGAAGGTATTCTTCAGCCTTGGTATATTGACCAACAGATTTAAACACAGCTCCTAGATTTCCGTAATCTGTTGCTTCTCCTCTTTTGTCACCGATTTCTTTCCTGATCACTAGTGCTTTTTGAAGGTATTCTTCAGCCTTGGTATATTGACCAACATATACAAACACATTTCCTAGATTTCCGTAAGCAGATGCTTCTCTTCTTTTGTCACCGACTTCTTTCCTGATCACTAGTGTTTTTTGAAGGTATTCTTCAGCCTTGGTATATTGACCAATAGATTTAAACACATCTCCTAGATTTTTGTAATCTGTTGCTTCTCCTCTTTTGTCACCGATTTCTTTCCTGATCACTAGTGCTTTTTGAAGGTATTCTTCAGCCTTGGTATATTGACCAACAGAGCCAAACACAGTTCCTAGATTTCCGTAACCTGTTGCTTCTCCTTTTTTGTCACCGATTTCTTTCCAGATCACTAGTGCTTTTTGAAGGTATTCTTCAGCCTTGGTATATTGACCAACAGATTCAAACACAGCTCCTAGATTTGCGTAATCTGTTGCCTCTCCTCTTTTGTCACCGATTTCTTTCCTGATCACTAGTGCTTTTTGAAGGTATTCTTCAGCCTTGGTATATTGACCAACAGATTCAAACACAGCTCCTAGATTTCCGTAATCTGTTGCCTCTCCTCTTTTGTCACCGATTTCTTTCCTGATCACTAGTGCTTTTTGAAGGTATTCTTCAGCCTTGGTATGTTGACCAACAGATTCAAACACAGCTCCTAGATTTCCGTAACATTCTCCAACTCCGAGATTATTTCTAGCCTCAATCATGATGCTGAGTGCCTTCTCGTAAAACTGTTTTGCTTCTTCGTATTTGCCTCTTTGATAGTAGATTTTTGCTAGTTGAAGTAATGTTATCCCTTCTGCTTCTTTTTGGCCAGTATTGTGTAGTGTCACTAGAAGCTTTTTACCACATTCTATCGCACGGATGTGATCGTACACACGAGTATAGCCATCAAGAAGTTTACGGTATACATAGGTAAGAACTGGTGTGGCTTTACCGTTAAGGAGCACCAGACATTCGTTAAAGATGTCCACTGCTTTTTTAATACGTCCAGTGTTGAAAAGGAAAGTTGCAACGACTACACCAATATAAATGGTCTTTGGAATCTCCAAGATGTTGTCCATGACGTTTTTTTCGCAACCTTGAGAAAAAGACATGTTAAGAGTAAGAAAGTGGAAACAAGATTCTTAACGAAATTATAACTGAACAGTTAAACTTCTTAGGCAAGATAATCAAGCTTTCGTGTAAGATTTACTGAGATAGGTCAGGATTATAAGTGTTGGACTATCATTTTTTTGGCCTATTCTATACTTCTTGAATCTGCAAATGCAGAATATCTAAATAAATAGTTTAACAGAGTAGTTGGTAACCTACTGTTTACCACCATACACCGTACTGTTAAAAATTCGGGAAAATAAAACTATTTCAGCCACAAGCTTTTGCAACAACAACGAGCTTTATTTACATGACCATAAGTTCAAAAGCTATTTTAAGAAATGTAAAAAATGTAAAATTCTATGAGCGATACATATTTTAGGATAGCTCTTTGTTAAATTGTAAAGAAGAGGAATTTGTTCTACTTTGTTCCATTTTTAGTTCAGACACATTCGTCTTCTCTAGGACTTAAAAAATATTAGGCAAAATGGTTTAGTATTTCATTGGTGTTTATAAAATGAATAGAACATTACATGGCCGCTTACATACGCTCACTCGTGAAATATTTTTTCGACACTCGAGGAGAAATTTCGTATTTCCGCGCGGCCATGTAATATCCTCTATTATTATTCATTTAAAATATTGGCTCCAATCCCCCGGCTAATTTCTCATAACCCACTGGCGCTCACCATATTTGGAAGACACAAGCAATACACCATCAATTTTCACTCAACTAAACAGGGACTGTCATTGGTTGATTCTTGGTCACGTGGCCTTGACTAAAATCAAATGTATGCCGATAGTGATATATTTGAGCCGGATTGTATCCAGCTCGGGATTCATTACAGCACGTGATCAAAGCATGGTGGGAATTGGCGTGACAGAAGGAGGGAAAACGCTGCCAGTTTTCTTTTTCTTGAATGAACAGTCAACAGTCAACAACACAAACATGAAACCTCAAGCTAAAAAGCAACGATTTTCAAAGTCATCCAAGAAGAGAAACAGCAGGTAGTGGAGGAAAAAGATGCAGATAATATAAGGAAAGTAATTTGTAAATCATTCATTCAGTGGTTTTGAGAATTAAATTTGTGTTCTTATAAATATCGAGTCGACTGTTTTGATTCGCTCCGGTTATTCTTTTGTTCCTGTTGAAGTGAAAATCTAGAAATATCACAAAACACTTAATGTCAGGTCCCTCGGGAAACCTTTTAGTTTTGTTTTCCCTCGAGTCTTGATGTCTCCCGAGACAAACTGTTTCCTTCGGGACCTGACATTAAGTGTATGATATAAAATCGATCAAACTCCTTTCGAGACGCGGCAGCCTAGCTCTTTATTCCTGAGTTATGTTAAGAAATGCAAAAATACGCAAAACATATCCCTGGAGGGATCGGATGTTGTTTACTTTTGAGGAGTATCTCCAAGGAAAAACATATGTTATATCGTGAAACCACGCCGAGAAATAGGCTAAAGTTTTGAAGAAAGTCTTCGAGAAGATAAGCTTGTTTATAAAAAATTAGAAATATTTTGAATTACTAATAAAACAATTATTGAATTGGGCCTTCGTAAGATGAAAAGAATTATGCAGATCTTGGAGGATGTTATCCACCTCGGCCGATAACATCCTCATCAATCTGCATTATTCTTCACATCCTACTCAGCCTCATTCAATAATTGCGAAATAACAGTAACACTAACCATAAATACAGTATAATAAAAGTCAACCATAAATGTAATATCCACCATAAATGTAATAAATTATAAACATTTTAACCATAAATGCAGTAAGTATACAAAATCGAATGAATTCGAGTACATTTCTTTATTTATGGCACGAGTGATGTTTCAAAAGTTAAAATTATTGCACGAGTAATTTCATTGATGGTTAAGGTGGCTCGATACAGTTTTTTAGGGCCAATACCTCCCAAGTTTGAGCATAAACTACGTCGCCATAAACAAAGTTTTGGAAAAATTGCCACAACAGTTGTATTATATAGATAAAGATGAAAATTTGTTATGATCAGGGTTGCAACGGCATCGGAGTTAGCAACGAAATGACGCCATTACTTATTTTACTTGCAGCAGTATATCTCGGCACTGGGAACTGTTCTTCCAAAATCGTTCACGGGAGCTTTTTCCTCCAGTAGCGGCCTCGATGTTCGTGAAGTTTAAGCGAAATCTGTAAGAGCGTTATCGAGATATTCTGGGATGAAGTTTTTGTGGTTAGAAACACAGTAAAAAATGGACAATATTGTTGTTTGGCCGTTATCTGTAGAAAATGACGCGCTTTTTACATGCAATTTCACCTCATAGTAGTTTCAATCTTTTTAAAAACGTGTGTGAAAGATCATGGAGATAGCTCCAGCCAATTGCTAGAAAGAAGGGTTTTATTAGCATGTATCTAAGCGCTCATGTTAGCGGTTTTGTAAACATTTTGGTCTTCTTTAACAAATTAGCGAATAGTTTTTAAACGCTTGATAGATTTTTTTTAAAATTTAAGATTCTTGAGATTAACCTTTCTTTCATATGACCTTTTAGTTTCAAGATTATTGATACATTGTAAGGGAGTGTAGCTAAATGTCGTGGGTCGTGGAGGTCGTGGGTCGTGGGTGTGGGTCGTGGGTGTGGGTAACTGTCGTAGGTAAAAAAAAAAAAGTTTTCCAAAAAAAAGATCAAAATTATAAAATCAAAGGGCAAAAAGTTGTAAAATTCATGAAACGAAAATCTACGTGTCCATGCCAGTCCTACCCCCCTTCCCCGCGGTCAGCAAAGCAAGTAAGCAAATCATTTAGTACAAACAGACACTAAAATAAGAATCTCTGTACACTATGTAAACCTATAGCAGGTTACAGAAAACTGGAGACTGAACTGCTTTTTCTCAAAAAAGTCAACATTCGTGACTGAAACGTCCTTTCAGTTAAAGGAATGATATTTAGAATCGTTACAGCAAAGATTTTGTACGCAAAACAAAAAAAATCGAGCAAATTATATTTACGTAAGTCGTAAGGCAATAAAATTTACATACTATCAGCGCCTTAACTTGAAAGGTTGAGCATGAAGGTGGTTCCTTTGTAAGTTATTAGCTAGCCGAAAACTTCTTTAAGAAAGACTTCTATGCAAAACTATGAAATACCTCAAAATTGTCTTTTTTCCCTGCCCTTTCCCACGGTGATCGAATTCCATCGTGTTAAGAAATCTTCGCTGATCATTGGAATTGTAGATCGAATAAAGATTAATAGTGAGCAGCCACTTCCATTCAGCGAGTCACAGCTGTTTATCTCATACTTTCTGCAAATTGTACGTATAACTTACGCCTGTTTCGTTTATTTTGCGGCGGTATGTATAAATTTCGAGTGTAGCTAAATGTCGTGGGTCGTGGGTCGTGGGTAGAGGTCGTGGGTCGTGGGTGTGGGTC